TCCTGGGCTCAAGCGATCCTCCCACCTCTCAGTTAATTTTTAAAAACTTTTTAGAGGCAAGGTCTCCTGCATTGACCAGGCTGGTCTTGGCATCCTTGCCTTGATGGTGGTGGTAAATCTGTATGTGTCTGCCACAACCTCAATTCTTGCCTCCTCAGAAGAAAGAATTTGACTGAGGGCATGAGTCCAAAGGAGAAACCAAGGCAAGTTTTAGAGCAGGAGTGAAAGTTTATTAAAAAGTTTTCGAGCAGGAACAAAAAGAAGGACAATATACTTGGAAGAGGGCCAAGTGGGCAATTTGAAAGGCAAGTGCATGGTTTGACCTTTGGACTTGGGGTTTTATACATTGGCATACTTTTGGGGTTTTGTGCCCCTTCTCCCCTGATTCTTCTCTTGGCATGTGCTGTCTGCATGTGCAATGGCCTGCTGGTGTTTGGGAGGGGAGCATGTGCAGTGTGTTTACTGGAGTTCTGAGCATCTCTCTTGAGGTGTTTTGCCCTTACCAATCTAGCATTCCTAGAGGAAGGTCATATGCTGATTATACTTCGCCATTTTGCCTCTTAGTGCACATGCTTGAGCTTACTTGTCCAGCTTCTGAGAGCTTACTGAGAAGCTGCTGATCACCAGTTTCAGGTTTTTTTCTACCTACAGGGAGACTGCCTTTCTCTGGCTCTGACTGAAGCCAATTATTATTTTACAGAAACAGAGTAACAACTGCCTGACCATCACCTGATGGTTGCCTGATATTCCTGGTTGGGGGCAGCCCTCTCGTATGTCTGACTAGCTGCCTACTGTACCAGCCTCAAGGAATCCTTCTGCCTCAGACTCAAGAGTTTCTGGGATTACAGGCCATCTTATAGTTATAATATATAACCTTATGAACAAGCCATTTTTTCCCTACCTTCTTCAATTTTCTTTTCTCTGATAATTTTCACTTACACAGACACTGTTTTCTTCTTAGTTTATCATATATAACTTTGTAATTATGAAAATATTAATAATAGCTACCAATTATTGAGTCTTTACTAGTCACTGACATTGTGCAGAATGTTTAGTATAGATTGCGAATTTCTGATGAAAAGTCTAGGAGAGGGGCATAATTGTTTCCACAATTCAAATGAAGATACAAATTTCAGAGAAGTCACAGTAATTTGGTCTAGCTCACACAGCCAGATTTACAATTACCTCTGTCTGGATCCTAAGACAACATTTGTTCCACTGCATTCCATTGGCTCCCTGAAATGCTTGTTTTTCTTGGTTATTTCTCACTAGGAGAAGCATTGGCATTTGGGCTGTGTAATCCTTGCTTATTTGAAAGTGTTCCATGCATTGCAGTGTTTAGCATTAGAACTCCTATCCTACTTTGAACTCTTGCAAGGGACATGGATGATGGTACACCTACTCTCTGTGGTTCATAGTGGACCAAGGTGGTCCAATAGGATGGTGGACCTATTATCTCTGGACTCATTTATTTTCCCCATAGTGCTGTAAGCCCTTCAGAGGCAATGACTACATATTGTGCATCTTGTTCCTTTTGAATGTTTATACACAAAAAAGGAAGTGTAATGAACATTTATCGAGTGGTTACTGAATATTAATGTTGAAAAGCAACACTAAGGCCAACAAAAAAACAATGTCCAGTGATGAGATCCTGGTTCACTGCAACCTCTGCATCCCAGGTTCAAGCAATTCTTCTGCCTCAGCTACTCAAATAGGTGGGACTACAGGCATGTGCCACCATGCCTGGCTAATTTTGTACTTTTAGTAGAGATGGGGTTTCACTATGTTGGCCAGGCTGGTCTTGAACTCCTGATACTAGATGATCCACCCACCTCGGCCTCCCAAAGTGCTGGGATTTACAGGAAAGAGCCTCTATACCAGGCTTCCAATCAATTACATTTACAGATGTAAATACCATGGAGAAAAGATTACCATTGTTTGAGAAGTCTTAACTACATGAGGTGTTATTCTGGCATTAAAGAATAAAGGTTACACTGTCATAATCGTGGACCCAGTATTAGCACCTTAATTATCTCTCTCTCTCTCTGTCTTGTTTTGTCCTTATTTTTAGCCTGTGTTGAAGGAGTACAACATGCTGTCCATTGTCTGAACTGTGAATTGTGTAATATATATTATCTTATTGAACAATTTAATAAAGTTATTCACATTGTATCGATGAGGACAGTAAGATTTGAGAGACATAAACTTACCCATAGTCATGCAATTGGTAAGTGACAAACCCAGGGTTTGAATTCAGGCGTGTCTGAGAGTAGAGTTCACATTCTCAGAAATTAAACTGTAGTTTTGGGGTCCTGGGGGAACTGAAGCTCCCAAAGGAATGTACCTTGATTATGTTTTAGCACCACCCTTGCTTCAGATGGTGACCTGCAGCTCATTCTGTTAAGCTCTGTTTAGTTCTCCCTAAAAGAGGTGCTGTCAGACTTTCCTTTCTAAATTACCAGCTCTCCTCTGTAAAAAAAAAGTATCTAAAATATCTGATTCAGCTTTAGTAAACATGATTGATGATTATGTTTATCAGCTGATGTGACCCAAAATGTACATTGAAGAACTTAGAAACATACTTTAGATCTTAAGTGAAAATGCAATGTAATAAAACCATGTCTCCTGAGAGGTAATGTGTTAGTCTGTTTTATGTTGTTATAAAAGAATACCTGAGACTGGGTACTTTATTAAAAAAAAAAAGGAGGTTTATTTTGTAGGCTATACAAGCATGGCATCAGTGTCTGCTTCTGGTGAGGGCTTCAGGAAGACTATAATTATGGCACAAGATAAAGACATGGGAAAGGGGGCACCAGAAAGGGTGGTAGGTGTCAGGCTCTTTTAAACACCCAGCTCTCACATTAACTCATTGCCATTCGGAGGACACCAAGCCATTCGCAAGAGACCTGCCCCAATGACCCAAACACATCCCACGGGGCTTCACCTTCAACATTGGGGATCACATCTCAATACAAATTTGGAGTGAGCAAATATTCAAACTATATCAGTACATTATAAAGCAAAGTGGTCAGATTTCTGATTCTGCCAATACTGTAATAGACCAACTTATTGAGAATAACTAGAAAAATAACATAAAACATGAAAAAAAATATCTAAAGGAGACACCAGACAGAGGTCAAGAAAGTGAGTTCTTGAGTTGTCAAGGTCTTTGAGAAATAGAATGTCTGAAGATGTGATCTAAAATTTGCTGCTTTTTTTTTTAATTCCAGAAAATTATTGCATTAAAAGAAGCAGAGGAGAACCTGAAGAGCTGACTAAAAAGTAATGCCTAGTAAGCTGAGATATTGAGAAGAGTTTCCAAATATCTCACAAGGCTATAGAGAAAAACCTTGTGTCCATGGCCCACTATGAAATAAGAATGCTGGGAAACTCCCAGGCTTTTAGTTAGGACTCCTGAGATATGATAGTAAGGAATGTGAATAAACATGGGAGGAAACCAAAAATATACCAGACCTCACACAGACTGAAGCCTGAATTTGAATTAGCTCAGCAGTTTATTGAATTAGGTCATATTCCTTCCTTAAATTGCCTAGTTGGAACAAAAAGTAAATCCTTTCTGGAGGAAAATAGCATTACTGAGTTCCTTAAATTATATGTATATGCTCTCAGACTCTGTGTTTTCAATCTAAAATACTCAGGTACATAAAAAGGTGAAAGTTAACAAACAAAAGAATACAACAAAGAGGATCCAGATATTAGAACTAGAACTATCAATCACATCCTTTAAATAAGTGCAATTAGTATGTTTAAGACGTGTCAATCTGAAAAGCTTAAGCAGAGAACTGGAAATTATTATTTATGTTTATGAATTTTATAAGAATTAATATTGTTAAAATATCTATTAAAGTTTTTAAAGCAGAACAAAGTTAGTGTTACATTTGTATTTGAACTCTAGAGTTTTATCTGTAAAGTTCGTATTGTAAAATGTGAAGAATAAATTGCTTGCCAACTGCCAATTACTTTACCTCTAAGATCTTTAAATGAAGAGAGCTCCCTAGGAGGACTCATAACATTTATCACCTGGATTCTCCCACCTTTTAACCCTTTATTAAACACCTTGTATCACTTGGGGTTCATTCTTTTCTTTTTTTTAAGGATAAGTTCTTGCTCTGTGGTCAGGCTGGAGTATAGTGGCTTGATCATAACTCCCTGCAGCCTCAAACTCCCGGGCTTAAGTGACCCTTCCATCTTAGCCTCCACAGTACCTGGGACTATAGTCAGGCACCCCCATGTCTACTACTTAAAAGGACCTTTTTTTTTAGAGATAAAATCTTGTTCTCTTGCCCAGTCTGGTCTTGAACTTCTAGCTTCAAAGGATCATCCTGCTCCAGCCTCCCAAGTAGCTGAGCTTACAGGTGTGAGCCACCACACTTAGCCAGGATTCCATTCTTGAGAAATGCAGACCTCCCCTTCCAATCTAGGACAATTTTCCTTTCTTCCCTTGCCTGGATCACCACCTGGATGAAATGGGAAGCTACATGTACAGTGTTTGAAGAGTACCACAGAGCACCATATATAAAGTGAATATTAACATATAAGTTAAGAAATGTATTCTGGCCTCCTACAGGGTCTATAATTATCTCTTCTATAAGGTTATATAATCTATTATTCTTTTGGTTAAGGCTTGGTCTGTGGATGTTCATATTACAATATTAAACTCTTGATATTCTATATGGGAATAGCCATTTATCGTCATAAATCAGCTTATTGATTCATTATAGAACAAGATATAGGATAGATGATTTTTCATGGATGTCAGTTCACTTACTGTAAAGGCAGCTGGACCAGCCCAAGCTTTCCTAATAGAAATTTTAATGTATATCACAGTCTCAAGGGGTTTTTCAAGGATAAGAAAGCTCCAAAAGAGAAAAATAGAAAAAATAAATTACCTAAACACAAGTTGGGGACAAAATTTGCAGTCATAAAATATTTGACTTGATAGTTCACAATGGTTAGAAATCACTGCCTTGATTGCAGTCATGTACCCTAGAGAGATTCTGAGAGCCCTGGCAGTGACAGTTGGTCATTCAGCTTCACGAGATAAAGAACACAGCACCAGGAAGAGGCACAGGTCTCTGAGCGACCCAATTCTAAGTATGGTCCTGCTTCGATGCCCTTATTAAAGCTCAGCTAACTTTGGGAAGATGAATTATTTTGTTACACTTAAGAAAAAAACAACTGGGAAGAAAACAGTGCTAAAAACAAACAAGGAATCACCCAATAAAAATCCAGCATAATTATATGTGCAAGAGCCAAGAAGAAATGCTTAGGGGATTATCCCCCACAGGGCTGTTTCTTTCCACTAAAGCAGGTAATTGAGAGCTAGCCATATTGGCCTTGGATTTAATTCTAGGCAGCCACACTAATTAGTGCACTTGATTTGATATTTCGTACTTGGACTCAGGGGCTTATCAACATATTATGCAGATTTATGGAAAATTGGACACGAATACTTGGAGCAAATTGCCCTGATGATTTTTAAAACAGGTCCTTAATATTTTTATTATAATTTTTTATTAGTGATTTTTTTCCCTTGCATGTCAGATCTTTTCTAGGTACCCTGTGGCTTTATCTTTCTAGTTTATTTGAAGATTCATCTTTCATTCTCTTGCATTTGTGGGAATTGGATCAATTTTGTCATATTTATGCCAGACTTCACTTCAGCAGTAAACTCCCTTCTTTAGACTAATTCTCTTTTACTGCCATAACTTAGAGTTGTTCAAGGTTTGAAAATGGAAGAAAACCATTTGAAAAAAGAAAGTAGAGTTTGTTAATGATTAGGAAAGGAAAAAAAGTAAATATACTCAGGAGGTCCAGTCAGGAGGATCACCTGAACCCAGGGTGGTCAAGGCTGCAGTGAACTGTGATTGCACCGTTGCACTCCAGTGTGGGTGACAGTGAGATTCTGTGTGGAAAAAAAAAAATTAAATACAATTGTTCTTCACTTAAGATACTGCTAGTCTGCACTTGACATCAGATTATTCTTTTTTAAAAGTTAAGTATTTGAAGTTTGTTTATTTTAACAAAGTCTTCTTGATAATTAAAGTCTTCTTGATAATTTTAAATGGTAGTAAGGTTACAAAATGTCTATAAAATATTATATGTTGGGGGTTGTGGAGGCAAAAGGAAAATATATTGAGAAGGAGTTAGCTGAATTCTCTTTGTAGGTCAAGCACGTGTTCTTGCTTAGAGGGACAGGAATAATTGTCATGCCCTTTGAGGGTGATGGAGACTTGACACACTGGCTAGTTTTGACATAAAATTTTACTGCCTCTCTTTAACCTGTCTGTCACATGTTTCAGTCTTTTCTTTTCCTTCTTCTCCTGGGCATCCTGAGCTTCAGTTAGCCTAATAACTCTCTTGGCTCTCTTGGCTCTTATAAGTCTGACAACCCCAATTTCAAGATGAATGATAGGTCTTCTATTAGAGACAAATGGACATTCACATTGACATTCAATGAGGGCACCTTGCTCACGCTTTTGAAATTCATCCTTTCTTTGATTATGCCTTTCAATAAGTCAAGAAAGCAGGGTTGGAAGAGGCACCAGAATGAGACATTTTTCTTTTTCTGTTCTCCACCTCATTTGTCAGTCACTGCACTGTGCTTGTGGCTTTCAGTTCTGCCTTCAATTTATTTCCATCATCCATCTTTTCTATGCCATTTTTCTTCCTCTGGTTGTTTCTTAACCTTCACTTTTTATTTGATGTAGATCTAGTTCTACACAAGAATATTCAAGGTAGAGATAACTGCAAAAGGGGGAAATTAGAGATCTAAAAAAAGTTCAAGGTATTCATGGTAGATTTCACTGCTCTAGCAGAACCCAGTGAGAGGCACACTTGCCAGAATTGGGCCAGCTATGATCATTGCAGCCTTAGGTAGAGAAATTCAGTCACTGCCAAATTGCAGCCATCAAGGAGGGAGCCAGAGGCCAATACTATCACCTCTCTTTCATCACACCCTTCAGGCTTTTCCAGGACTTTCTTCTATTGGTTGAATACAACCAGAAGCCAGAAGGCAAGAGAGCTTACTTGATATTATCCATTAAGGTTAGCATTCTATGCTACATAGCAGGATAAAAAAGGGTGGAGAATAAATGTCAAGGAGAAAATAGACATCATGCAGTGGGTAAAAAGAAAAATTTGTACATGTTCTTCTTTCTCATCCTTATTTTTCTCTGTTATTTATTCTTCACTCAATGCATGCCTGGTCTCTTTCACTGCTGAGCTTCATTTTGGCCTCTGTTTCCTGAGGTACCTATTTTCTTTACCATTCATTTGATAAAGTAATATAATTTTTGACACTTAAAAAAATTTTTTTATCTATTTTTTTTTTTTTTGCCCAGCTCTAGACCATACTTTTTGCTCTCTGTGGTCTTAAACTTTAAAACTTTTAATAATTGCAGATTAGTATTTTTAATGATATTTTGTAAACATGGGAGGTATAAACCAAAAAAAGAATTAACTGCAACCACATAATCAAAAATAAGAATTAGAAAGTTTTCTACAATTTAAAAAATATGACTTGCTTTATATAGTCTTGCTATATGGTTCTTTAGAACTAGAAATTTTGAGGGCTACCTGGTACTGCCAGGAAGAGTCTTGGTCTTGCTCCTTTGTAGCTAAGAGACCGAGGGCAACTGATTGTCAGTTACCTCAATTAAAATTGGAACAATAATACAAATCTCATAAAATGTTTATTTCAAGAACTGAACGTGATAAATGAAATAAAAATATACATCTATACTTGCTATTGTACACTCTCAACTTGTTTTTATTTTTGTTTAAATGAAAGCAAGAGTTCTACTTTGTAGTTTGTAAGGTTCACAGTCCAAATAAAATAACTATTGTTTTTCAGAAACCATAAAGAATAAAGTAGCTGCTTGTTATAGGGGTGTTTAAAATGGACAAGTCTAGAGTTACATTTTTCTGCATTCATTTTTACAACATGTCATGCTGAAAGTGTCACAGAAAGTTTCATTGAAGACTATTCTGAAAACCTCTATCCCTCATATTCACGTTTCTTGGTTCTCTCATCAACACGTAGTTTCCCTGGTTACTTCCTCACTCATATCTCCTCTTTCCTTTGGTTGACCACATCATTCTTTCTCCTCTCTGGAAGTTACAGTGCTCCAGATGAATTTCACTCTTATGAAAGGGGTCAAAGGCATAATTCAGTTAAAGGTAATGTTAATGAAACCATTATCTGCAGTATCAAAGATAGCACCTGAGTCCACGGAACTCCTTTGCTGTCTAAATTTTCTATAAAATTTTTTTATAGAAACACCACAGGCTTTGAAAGTCAATTTTATGTGAGAATTTCTTACCTTAGAGATTCACCATATCTTAGAGATTCACCATATTACCATAATAAAGACTCTTAGAAGTGTATAGTAAATTTAAAAAAAGGGGGCATTACTTTTCAAACTAAGTTGACTACAGATCAAGTTTGTTTCCTAGTTATATCTCACAGGATATGTTTTAGGCAACCCTGACCTATGTCATATTGTATAAATTATGGAGAAAATGTTTTCTTAGCAGCTGTTATAATAAAATTTTTTCCCTAAGGAAATGACCTTTTAGTTTAAATTTCTACATAAGTAAAGAGGGATATAAAGTGGAGTGAAATGAAAAAAAAAACTGATGATGGCAAGAAAGAAGAATCAATTTAAAAAAACACAACTATGGTTTGACAATGAATTAGGACTTGTAGGAAAACAGACATATCTAATGATTATTTTGTTACATGGTATGCATCCTAACATTCTCATTTTCCTTCTTTTCTCTAAATTTTGCATTTAATCTATAATGTTCTCTAATGATTTGTGAAATTTATTTGACTTGAGGAAACAAAACAACATACTGAATCCTGCTCCATGGCTAGAGTATGTGGTGACACCAGAGATTGCTCATGAAAGAAGATGTTAATGTTTGTATAGCATAGGAGGATCTGATCAACAGAATTCTTAATAATGTATAAAATGGAAGCATTCTCATTTGTCAAAAGAGAAAGAAGAAAGAAACATTCACATATGGGAGTATGCAGGATTGTCAAGATGGGATCTTGGAGGCAGCATTCAAAATGGCCCTATACTTTCTACGCAAGATTGAACTTTCAGGTTGCATCTTGATTATAACTTTGGTCCCATGGACTAATGGCTAATAAAATATTCATAGCAAAATTTATCCAAAGACTAGAGATTAGGAAACCATATCCTAAAAACAAAGCAAAACAAACACAAAAATCCCACCTGTTTTTATATTAAGTTACTGCAGCAAAGGTAAATATCACACAGATAATTCTGAAATGACATTGTATTTTGAAAAGTGAATGTATAATTTATATAGCTTATGTGTTGGGCTTAGAGTTTTTGAGGTTAGATATTAGGGGAAGAAAAATAATCTGTGGATTGACTGGTTTTTTTTTTTTTTGAAAACCACTTTATTGAAGTATAATTGATATACAGAAGTTGTACATATTTAATTTACACAAATTAATGAATTTAGAGATAAGCATATACCTTTGAAACTGTTGCCACAATCCATGCCATAAAGAACCATAATATGCCATCCAAAATTTCCTCCTGATCTATTTATTTATGTATTATTTTTTCCGTAAGGACCCAACATAAGATCTATTCTTTCAGCAAGTTTCAAGTATGTAATATGGTACTGTTTATTGTAGGCACTATGTGTTACAGTAAATCTCTAGGATTTATTCATTCTGTGTAACTGAAACTTTGTACTCTTTGACTAATATCTTTTCATTTCACCCTCCCCTATCTCCTGGAAAAAACCATTCTACTTTCTGCTTCTTCTTTTTTTTTTTAATTGCATTTTAGGTTTTGGGGTACATGTGAAGAACATGCAAGATTGTTGCATAGGTACACACGTGGCAGTGTGATTTTCTGTCTTCTGTCCCTTCGCCTGTATCTGTCATTTCTCCCCATGCTATCTCTTCCCACCTCCCCACCCCCCCATCCCTCCCTTATTTCCCCCCAACGGACCCGCGGGTGTTGAACAATGAGAACACCTACTTTCTGCTTCTATGAGTTTGACTGTTTTAGATTCCTCATATAAATGGTAGCATGGAGCAT